CATGTGGCAGGGGGTTGGAGATTCGTGATCCTTGAGGTCCCTTCCAACCTGGGCCATTCTGTGATTCTGTGTGAAATGGGGTGGTACATCTCCTACCAAACCGTTGCCCAGAGCATTACGTACTCAGGCAGGAAGGTGGCTGCTGTCCTGCTGGCTGCATTCCTCGCCCCCAGCAGCACCCAGGTGCCCTGCACTGCGCTCAGCTGCAGGCTTGGTGGCAGAGCTGGGCTGGAACGAGCTGAGCTGTGTGAGGGACCTGCTGCCTCCCACTGTCAGCACACAGCAGTGCTCAGAGCACAGGTGTATTTGCTGAAGGGATTGAAGAAATAGCGACGTTCTGATTTGATCTGTTAACTTGAGTCAGGTTGTTGCTCAGTGCATCTTTCCTGAAGAATCCATTTCCTTAGGAATCAAGTTGTTGTGATTTTTTTTTTTCGCTCCCACTTTTTCCTGTCAAATATTTGGAAGAAAAAGCACAAATGAACTGGAAATCTTTCCCACGTTTAGAAGCACAGACTGAGGGCACCCCACCTCAATACACAGGTGTTGGTGGTTGAGACGCTGGTATAAACTACATGTAGAGTGCTATTTTAAGCAAACATCTGATAGAGCAGTTGCTTCTGGGCTGTATTGCTTCTGCCATGCTTCAGGCAGTTGAGCTGTGCTTCAGGCCCTGAATTTATTGTGCAGGGACCCACACTGCTGTAAGTAAGCTCAGCTCAGCAGTGCCTCTTGCTCCCTGCAAAGGTTTCACCCGTTCACATTTCGGGAGTCCTAATTCTGACACCACAACTTGCTCAGAGCCCTTACAACATTCTCTCCAATATATCCCAGGGTGAATCATGCAGCGTTGTTTGCTGTAAATATAATTTAAGAGGAAAAAATAGTGAGGGGAGCAAATGCAGACTTTTAGAGGCACAACGGTTTAATTTTGTTTGTTGTTTTTATTAGTTATGCAGAAGTCCGAGCTGAAAAAAGGCGAGATCTTGGCCTTGAAGAGTCATCAATTGAACTGGCATCCTCTTCTATAAAGGTACTGCATCTCTTCACAGTTGAATGAACAGAGCCACCTTTTATTCAATCTTGAGAGGTTACCTGTTCTTCCTTCTCCCATATTCCCTTCTCCTTCCAAGTCTTTGCCAGGGCTATGACTCAAACAGCTGCTCAGGAGTCACACGCTGCATGGCTCTGAGCTACCCCGTCTTGGTGCAGGCATGCAGCTGCAAATCCAGCATTTGCATTGCCACTGCTCAGCTTTTCCAAGTTGTTCTGAGTGCAGGGCAGTACCACCATGCATCTCTTTGGTTCATGCCAGCTTGGCACCAATACTCAGACAAAAGTACTCAGAAGTACCGGGAAAACAGTGCATTGGTTCTTATTCCAGATTTCAGCTTTCTTTGCACCATTTTGCAGGAATGTGACCAGAGCAGTAATTTTCATGGCTTGAATCAGTCTGGCATCCCAACATGCCTGTCCAATTAATAAGGTTATTTCAATTCCTTTCAAATTCCTCCTCTCAGTAGTTTACAGATAAGACCGGTAATCGAAGCCACTCTGTGAGCATTGTTGTGTAATTATCATTCCATTAGTCTCAACTGCTCTTCAGCCATTGTTTTATAGAAATTACTTATAGGATGCACTGTGGGCACTGTCCCAGAGGCCTTTTATGCTGGAGCAGAGGCCATCTTGCTAGCAGCTACTCTCACTAAAGCACACTGCTGTAATTTTGCCCTTCCCATATGATAGCAGTGATGTTTTTCTGCAGCCATGAAGCTGCATCTGCTGGTGCAAGGCAGTGGGAGGAGCAGTAGGGCAATTGTGCCCATTGCTTGCTCTTGGGGAAAGGAGTGGGGAGCTCCTGGGGAGGCATGGGGAGGACGACAGCACGGGCAGCTTGGTCAACACATCCTGCAGTGAAACAGTCATGCTGTGGGCTGTTAGCCATAAACCAGCTGCCATCCGTTGTTTTGGTGACAGCTCCAGAGCCACACAGACGCACTAGGTTTGGCTATTCCCACTGGGATATATGGGTTGGGAGGGTAAAGTCATCAGGATGACCATCGACGGAGAGCCCTGGGGTCAGCTGGAGGGGGCTGGCAGCACCCACCTTGTTATTTCCCCCCCAGCACCTCCTCTCATGTGCTTCTCTCCTGCAGAGCCACGGCAGCTACCTAGAGGTGGGCCACTGTGGCAGCAGCCAAGATGCCAGCCGGGAGGGAATGTCGCTGTCGTCGCACAGCTCCCGCCGCTCCTCTCACACCGCGCTCTCCGACTCTGCCTGTAGGTGCCCGGTTCGGTGGGGGAGTGAGGGGCAGGGCACCCTCCCAGGTCTGGGGTCGGGTGAGGGGCTTCCACCGGCTGGGGCTGAGTCAGTGAGAGCTGCTCAGCTTCAGCTCTGACACGCTGTGGTGCTGTGTCCTGCATCGCCCTCGTGGGAGCGGGGGTGGCCGGGCACAGCTCTGCTGCCGTGTGACAGCAAAGCGTCTCTTTTCCAGCCACCTCGTCCATGCGGCACACCGACACCAGCACTTCCACCAGGCCGGCGGTGCCAGAGAAGGCAGCCCTGCGGCTGGCGGTGGCTGGAAGCGCTCAGGTCGGTGCAGGGAGGGAGCAGATGGCGGGCCTTGGTCTCACTCTTGGAGGGCTCTGATCCTCGGCTCCGGGTGTGTGGGGCCAGGGCTGGGATTTCCTGGGGCCATGGCGGAGGTAAAGAGAGCTGTCGTGGGGTTCGTTGTTCCTCCAGGCCAAGTTCTATCTCCCAACACATCTCTTGGGTCTGCACGTGTTAAAAGGCTGGAGACCTCCAATAAAGCAAAGTTTTCATTTTTAGGCCATAGCAACGCCTCCAGCCACGGGCGAACACCTCCCTCAGCAGCCGGCGGTCCCCTCCCAGCAGGCCGTGATGGTACGTGGTGTGATGCAGCCCCTGCCCCAAGCTGGGTGGGAGGGAAGGGGTTGTGCTGGGGCTGTGTGATGAGCATGAGGGCTGGGCCCTTGCCCCCAAGCCAAGCTGGGATGCTGAAAGCGTAGATTAAAGGAAGGCTCAGACCTGTCAAACCGCTTGGGGCTGCTGAAGACTCATCTGTGTGGTGAGCAGCTGGCACAGACTGATACAGCACAACAGTGTTACGGCCTGATAGAAGAAGGGGGTGACGTGACAGATCTGAGATAGGCCAAAAAAAGAAGAGAGAGACAAAAAAAGACAATTATAAATCATAGCTAGTCTGGTGTTCCAGTAACCTGCCTGTCTTGCACAAAAGCATCACGATGAATGTGCAGTGGGACTGGCCCAAGCCAATGCTCTCTCTCTGCCCTGCAGCCCGTGTACCACTTCCCAGCCCCGCTGGGCATGATGCACCAGCTGAAGGAGCAGCTGGAGGAGAGGACACGCATTCTGCAAGCGGACATCAAAACGCAGCAGGAGGAGCTGCACGTCATCAAGGAGCAGCTCCAGCTGGTGCAGGACTCCAACCTGCAGGTACCACTTCCCTGCCCCCAGACTGTGCTTTGCCTTGGAGCACGCAGATCAGTGACAGTTATCTGCAGCATTAAGCATTTGGAAATGAGCTCTGGATGAATGCACAGCGTCGTCCCAGGCATGGGGGTGGCTGGCAAGGTGTCTCCTGAGGGGTAGCAGCCATCAGTGGCTGCTTAATGATAGAGTCATGATTTAGGAAAACAATCCCAAGGAAGGGGTCAGGTTGTTCAGAACTCACTCTGCACAGTGATCCCAGAGGTTAATGCCATTTATGCCATCCCACAACGTGTGACAGGGATAACAGCACCAGGCAGTCGTGGCTCTGAATATCTGAGCAGATGCTGACATGGTTGCCCATTCCCACAGCTCACTGTGCTGCTGTGTTTGCAGGCACGGTGCCCACGTGCTGACAGAGGCCTGCTAGGGGCAGGAGGGTCTCCCAGCAGCGAGGAGCCCAGCAGAGCTCCTTTGGGGCCCTGCCAGCTGCACCCCTCAGCATAGGGCGGGAGCCTACAGACCCCCTATTTTCTAGCAAAGCCCAAGCACCATCTAGTGGCAGTCGCCCAGCAAGCGCTGTCTTATATCCCTTCCCGATGTGTAACGCACCCGTGCCTCTTTTCTCTTTAAAGATGCTGATGCAGCAGCCGATCCCACTGGTCCTCAACAACGCACAGCGTCAGAGCCCACGGAGAGCCCCGCCGCCATCCCGGCAGCCCAGCACCAAGAAGGCCCCACAGCCGGGCCCCATGGCCAAGCACTACGGGGGTCCCCCTGTGTCCACCCCGCGCCTGTTCCTCAGGGAGCCCTGCAGCACTCCCTCCCAGGTGCCTGGCTGTGCTCACACGTGGGCAGGTGGCACACAGCGTTTGGTGGTTGTCAGAGGGGAACTCGTTTCTGGCAGAGAAGTCTTGGAAGGCAGCTGTGATAAATGAGCTTAGCATCACTGGGTCTGCCTTCACTGTATAGAATCACTGAACGGTTTAGGTTGGAAAGGGATCTTGCAGCCCCCCCCTGCTGTGTGCTGGCTGCCCCTTCACCCCAGCTCAGGCTGGGGGCTCACCCGTCCAACCTTGGGCACCTCCAGGGATGGGCACCCACAGCTCTGTCACCAGTGTCAGGGCCTCATTGCCCTCTGTGTGAAGAATGTCTTACTCATATGCAACCTAAATCCCCCCTCTTTTAATTTGAAGCCATTACTCCCTGCCCTGACACTGCACTCACTGATACCGAGTCCCCCCCCAGCTCTCCTGAAGGCCCCAGGAGGTACTGGAAGGCAGCTATAATGTCTCCCCAGAGCCTTATTTAGATGAAAGAATTCCTCCTGCAGCTGAGGATCATAGAAGGGTGACAAATGCCAATGAGGTGTTTGTGCTCATAGACATATTCCATTCCTATCACTTCACTCAGGGAGAACTTCAGCTTTTCTTTGTCTTTTTTCCAGTTTGAAGCTGTTGTTGTAGCTGCATAACTGGGCTTCAGAACCTGATCTGTGCATTTGCACCTGCATTTCAGGTACCACAGCAGCAGCAGCACCTAATGCGAGGAAACCAGGCCCAGCCAACATGTCTGCCAGGGCAGACGAGCATTTCAGTGCCCCTCTACAACAACCCCACAATGTTTTCACAAGCACATCCCATTACAGTGGCTGCACAGCTGCCAACTGATGTTGGTGAAAGGCAGATGCAGTCTGACTACAGCCAGGACAGGAGCCTCAGGTAAGAACTATCCTCCCAGCCCTGTCTTGCTTGCTCTAGAGTCCCAGAGTCTCTTTTTTCCAGCCAGGATGAGGTCTGTGACAAAAACATTACTCTTTTGTACAAAGCTACAAACTGCTCCAAACTATGCAACTGCCTTTCAGGAAGAGGACTGCAGGCGCTGTCTCTGGGATTCAGACACTGCAAAATACTCTTTAAAGGAGCAGCATAAACTATGTGAGCTAGAGATCTCACATCTGTAAAAATGTATTTCTGACATGGAAGATGTGGCAATTTTCAGCCCACCTCCGTGGGTGATGAAAAGCATCCTATTGCATTGGCTTTTTTTCCGAGGAGAATCAGTGCTACTTTGCATGCTTTCAGTGAGGGCTTACAGGACTTGTTCCTAGAGGTTGGCAGCCAGCAGTCTGGACTTGGCGTGCCCTGACTGCCCCCTCTTTTTCCTCACCACAGGATGCTGCTGGACCAGTCCATCCAGGCCATGGTGCCCGCCGCCAATGGCAGCGCCCAGCCCACGCCGAGCAGCGCCAGCAGGCAGCCAGGGAAGTGAGTCCTTGCTTGTCCCTGCAACGTGGTGTTGGAGCAGGGTGCTGCTTCATGGCTCCAGAAATTTGAAAAACCTGTGTGCAATCACATGAAAACAAACCAGACTTAAAGGAAACAAAATCTAAGCTAGCTAGGAGAAGTAATGAGAATATGTATTTATTTAATTGCAAAGAACTCTTAATTACTGTTTTTTTGAAAAGTGTTCCTAACTTTTTGCTGGCTTTTGCAAAGCACCAAGTGCTTGATAAGTCACAGAGATGTACAGCCTTACATATCTGATTCCCTGTGGTTCCAGTCAGGAACGCTTAGCAGGAGAGGGACTTTCGTGTGGGAATTGGCACAGTTTGACAAGTCCTGTTGCTCTGATTCCATTGGGCAGCCAAACCAGGGTTGGGTTCTCACACTGGATTTTCTTCCCCGTGGCAGATTCGTGGCAGAGCAGCAGCCCTTGCCTCCCGCCACGCAGATGCAGCCCATCAGCGGCAGCACGGTGCGGCCCCCCGCCCCCTCGCCTGTGTTCTCCCCATCCGTGATGCTCCCCCATGGCAGCTTCGTGGCCCACCCTGGCAGCACCCCGCTGCACCTCCACCCCTGGCCACAGCAGCAGGTTCAGCAGCACCGTCTCTACCTTCAGGTAAGGTCTGTGGCTGTGTGCAGGGCTGGGGTGGGATCTGGGGAAGAAACGGTGCTTAGCTGACCACAATTACACCTGAATTGTGCACTCGTGTGCCCTCCATCCACTATATCTGCGTGTGCCTCTGTGCACAGCATTTCCAACCTGACTTGGTACCCAGTTTCAAGGCTGTATTTCCAAGCCCAGCTGTCCCTTAGCAAGCAGAAGGCAGAGCCAGGTCTTCAAGTATAATGTATCATTCAGAGGGCCTGGGGTGGGAATCCCACTGTGGAAGCGATGGGCGATAAGGAATTGGTCCCCTTGAAAACAAGCCTCCTGCTGCTAGGTCTCAGCATAGCAACGGGTTCTTATCAGCTGCAGTCACTGCTTCCTTTCAATAAAAGGTTGTTTCCCAACACAAAACTCTGGGAAAGGCAGTTTTGTTTTTTCAGTGCATGTTTGCATCAGTGCATGCCAAGTGAACAGGGCTGCCAAGGAGAAGGGCTGTTGAAACTAATAACTAATGAGTAATGTGCTCTCCAAGACTTGGTGGGTTGGCAGAGGCAAGCTATAGTTGTCCTGGAAAAGATGGTAGAAAACAAGAACAGGAATAGATAGGGCTGGAGTTACGCTGCAGGGCTGCATTTGGAGTGGGAAATAGATTGTTGGAAGCATGGGCAGGAACTGCTGTAAGCCCTGAGAACAGCAGCGTGGCAGCGTGCAGGAGGTGAAAGCTTCAGTCAGCAGCAAGTCGGGCCTCAGTGCCATGGCGAAGTGATGAAGCCTGCTCTGTGGGGCAGCAGCCATAGGGCTGCCCGTCCTGCAGCTGTGCTGCAGCTGCCTGGCAGAGGCCTTCAGTCTGTAGGGCTGGTAGGATGGGATCCCACTACCCTGCCACATTCTTCTGTCCTTAGCTCACCGCTGGGTGGGCACAGATCACCCTTGGGCTCTGGTACCCCTGGACAACAGCGAGGGAGGGGTGCTGGGCCTGGGGCAGGTCTGATCGTCTGCCTTTGTGTCTCCCTGCAGATGCAAGGAGCTGAGGCCGTGCCGGGAGGCCCCAGCCCACGTGTGTTCCAGCCACCCCACCTCCCGCAGCAGAGCCCCCTCAGCTACTTCCTGCACCCGCAGCCGCAGGGCCGCCACGCACAGGGCCAGCCCTGCAACCTGCCTGACCTGTCTGAGATGCAGCTGCCCTGACCGACTGCCGCTCACACCGGCGAGACCCCACCTCACAGAGTGGGATTGCCGTGGGGCCCAGCTGGGGTCTCCCGTTGGCATCACCGCTCAAAAGAGCCCGTGGGCTGCGAGTCTCAGCCAGGCCTGTCCCAGAGGGAGCGCACCGTGGAGCTGAGGAAGAGGAGGATGCTCACCTGGGGCTCCCGCCCACCGGAGCTGCAGACTTGGTCAGAAAGGTGTGCTTGGGGCCGGGGCCGGGATGCTGCTGCCGGTCGCCGAGCCGTGCCAGTGCTGGCTGCAGATCTTTGACCGGGAGGGGACAGCCGCCCGGCTGCGTGCAGGTTGGCTGAGGTCCCCGTGGGGATGGCGGCACTGCAGACGAGCCCTGTCCCATCAGGGCCGCGGTGCTGGAAGTCACTGTGATGCTGATCCCAGCGCCTGCAGCACTGCAGGGCTCCCGTGTGTACATAGCTCGTCTCGCTCTCGTAGGTCCGTCGTGGAGTTTTTCCTTATTTCTATACCTCAACCCCACCATTTTGTTTTCCAGGAGATTGGATAATGCTGCTAACTTATGTAACACCACTTTTGCCTGAATTTCTTACTGTTGTTAAACCAGCTCACATCACAACCAGTAAGATATTCCTCATCTTTTATTTTGGTTAACAAGTGCAGAGAAATTTATATGGTTTTTACTCCCTGTAGCCAAATATTTTTCAGGTTACCTACAAAGAACCTTTACTCTTTCTCCTCTGTCATTCTGTTCTGATCCAGGTGGATGTTGTTGTATATGTTTCTTAACATGAAAACAAACCAACACAGTAGAACACCATATGACAGCAAACTTTGTGGTTTTGCTCGGTCAGATTTCAGACTGACAAACCCATCACAGTGACACAGGCGATGTTACAAGCCCATAGGGTCAGCAATAAATTGTATTTTTGTAAATTGCCACTTTTTAAGTATATGTTTATATTTATGAATTGAAAACTAGTCTGCTCCTCAGTGGGTGTATAGCTGTGTCCCTCCTGTTTGTGTCATTCCAAAGGGAAAAGGAACACCTACATTTCTGAGGCGCTGGGGGCTGAGCACTAACCGTGGGCACTGCTGGAGCCCAAACACAGATGAAGGTGTAGGCCGTTGCTTTCAGCTTTGCAGGAAGGTGGGGAGGAAAACGTGCACACGCAGAGGCACACACACCAAGGATACACTATTGTACGCAGTTTATGTCTCAGTGTTGCTGCTGGGAGAAGGCTGCAGCACGGTGGCTGTCCTGCACGTCCCCCCCAGCATGCCAGCCCTGTGTGGCTGCACTCCTGTGAGCAGTGCTTGGCACGGAGGGAATTCACTGCCTTGCAAGGAGAGGGGCTGGGGGTGGGGGGTGTGCAGGATGGGGCCGTGCCCTTCCACAGCCCTCCTGATGGCACTGGGCTGCATGGTGATGGGGAGGGCTGTGGGGGGGCACGGCTGTCCATCGCTCACAGCAGGGAGCAGGGGAGGTTTGCAAGGATGTTTACGGGTGAGATTGGCCTTGCTGAAACAAGCAACCTAAAACATGCACTTTATCACACCCCCCCTTTCTTTCCAGCACCCACCCCAGCCGTTGGCACAGCCGCTCGTGGGCCTGATGCCACCTGGGCAGAGCTGTGTGTGCCGTGGGCCAAAATCCCAGAGCCTCTGCTCAGCCTGCATCCAACCGGGCATGGCAGGCTCAGGGCCATGGGATTTTTGCCTTAGTTATCAGTCACACTCAAAGAATTAATGACTAAATAAATCTTCTTATTCAGGTGAGTTCATTTACCTCGGTGATAGCTACGACCTGTGTTTTTGGGATCCCTTTGGCATTGAGGGTTGCTGGTGGGTTTGGTTCCCCTCTGGGTGCTGATGAGAGAACAGAAGCGTGAGCGGTGCTGCCTGCACCACGGGCTGGGCTCCAGCACCAGCGCTCAGTGACATCCTGAGGCTTTCTAGCACACAAGCACCCATGTGCTAGCTCTCTCTCCCTTCATATATAGATATACAGGTGTGTGTGTTTGTAATATACATATATATGTATGTATGTGTGTATCTCTATCTACAGGCCACACAATTCCAGACCTCTGAAAACACAGGCAGCTTTAATTACTAAAGTCTTGCACTTTTAGCGTATTTGTACATATAAGCTAAAGCCTGGTGGTGCAATCAGGCTGGTTTGACAAACACAGCGAAAAATTGACTGTATATATTGTAACATACTCTGTGTAAAAGAAGAAAAATCTTAGAAGTGACTATAAATCTTGGTTTATTTTATATGATGTCAAATATAGATACATTTATAAATGTTATTATTCTTAAAAGTATTTTGTAATGGGAAAAAGAAAGTGTCTTATGAAGATGAAGAGTAAAGATTTTATTCTTGTCTTGAATCTATGTCGCTGCACAGCTCCGTTGGATGGGAACCTGTGCATTTTGAGAAGCTTTAAACAGATTATACATGGTATTTTCAAAAAAAAATTAAAAAAAAAAAAAAGAAAAAAAAAGAACAAAGAAAGAAAGGAAGAAAGAAAGAAATAAAAGCATACCTGTAAGACCTCTTACACAACTGTGCTGTTGTTTTTCCCAGGCAGTACGGGTCAGCTGGAGGGCCGGACTCTGCTCCTTGCTCTCCAGGAGTGCAGGAGCTGTCACACACACAAGTACACACTGGCTGGAGGGATGGGGCTCAAGCCAGGGACTGGGATTTTCCTGACCACTGCCAGAGGCGATAGGGGCAGAGCATGAGCCAGGAAGAACAAGGCACCATGGCACACGATCCGTGTTTTAATTTGGGTGCAAAAATGAGTAATGCCACTCTTCCTGGACTAACTCAGCAGCCATCCCAGCATGGAAACAAGCTCAGGTTGTGCACAAGGCTGAACTGGTCCCAGTCTGCAAAACCTGGGTCCACTCTTTTCCTCACCCTTAGGGGAGGTTAAAGGCCTACTGTGCTTTTTCTATGGCTCAGTCCTTCCTAAGAATGTCTTTAACATAACTGATGCTTTTGAACAAACTTCTGAAGCAGGCTATCATGGGAAAGAACAGTGCTTCAAACACATTATTTTTTCTTAAGTGAAACATATTTTATTTAACACCCCATTTGTCTTACAGTACTTTTACATACAACACGTTGTATAAAAAGCCAACCTGCCAACACAGATGTGTTGCCTTCTTGGTAAAGTGACAAAGCTGTAGCAAAGAAAATAGCCTGTTCTTCCTGGAGACAAATTGCAGTACTTCATTTTAAGTCCAGACAGCAACTGCAGTCACAATCAAGAACCCTGGATAGTACAACTGGATGAGAAATTTCTAAGAGATTCAACATACGGCTACCTCTTACTTGCTATACATTAGCAATTTCTTCTTAAAAATATACTATTAGAATGTCATTAGAATGAGGAACAAGCGGTTTGTCTTAGGAATGGACTGACACAGATGGGGCATTTTCTGAATCACACAGCAGCGACCATTTCTAAGCCCCAGTTTTATTACAAACAGTTCACCCCGTGGTAGAAAAGGCCCAAGGGCTGTTCCTCGCGCTGTGTTCAGGCCCTGGGGTGACCACTGCTGAGTGCAGCACACAGCGGGGCACAGCAGCTGCTCCTCGTGCTGGCCGGAGCTCAGCCAGTGCCACACAATGGGGGACACCAGGCTCAGAGGCTGCACCCCTGGGCACAGGGCTACGTTTGACAAAGGCATTTGATGCGTGTGTCAGCGATAATGATGGCCCAAAGGGGCTGTGCAGTTTGCACCAACAGCTGCTGGGAACGTTCTGGCACAAGTCACCATGGCATAGCTGCCTGGTCACACTGGTGACACCGCAGCAGAGTGCAATTTAAAAACTGTATGAACAGCAGTGTTAGCGACCTAACGCTAGCTGCTGCGTGTGCTTTTATGTGATGGGTGCACATTCACTTAGTTCCTAAGACAGGACCATGAGATAATGGGGATCGTTACAGAAAAAAAATGACAGATGTGAAATGACACGTCTGTACTTACTTAACCACGCCGCTCGCTACTGATGGATAAGCTGCTGAAAGTTCAAAACCACATCTAAAAGCCTCCAAGTGACAACGTGAATGGAAGTCCCCCTGCAGGGAAGGGCTGTGAGCACAGCGGGCTGCTTCCCCACTGAGCTCTTGCAGCACAAGTGTGCCCACCCGCCGAGTCCCCCGCAGTACGATGCCATCACGGGTTCACCTTTGCAACACCAAATACATTTTAGATATATATATATATTTAAATCACACGCTGGTCACCCCTCTGTAACACAGATATGACAACTGGCAAGGATTGCTGTGCAATTGGTAACGGCTCTATAGTTTCTTGGATTGACTGTAATAGAAACTGGTATTTCAAGAAGTTGCTCAGTTTTGCATAACCAAACTATGTAATAACAGAGGGCCACTGTATTTTGCAGGTTCCTTGTACAGTCTTTTGTACTTAATTTCATCCTGTATGTACTTTTTAAAAAACATCTTGGCCCTCCACCAAAAAATGTAATTGAGTTCTAAGACTTTCACGTCCCTGTGCTACGTAGCTTAGTGAACAGCCTATACCTTTGAATGTCTCTTGAAATTTGCAGTACCCACCATGGACCTACAAAAGCATTTTGCTTGGGCAGATGTATCTCTTTTCATGGGGCTCTGTTCATCTTCAGCTGCTTACATAAGAATTACACACTAGCAAACCTTACCTGAGCACATCCTAGACCAGAACATCAGTTATCATCTGCTCCGTGCTTCGCAAACAGCATCAGGAAAACATTTACACAGTGTTGCCCTAGTTTGCCTCAGAAACATACATATGAATAAGTTAGTTTGTATATTCTATGCACCAATATACAGAGCAGCAGTATGCTGTATCAAGTGGGACTGCTTCACAAAGGTTTCTGAAAAAATCTTCATAATTTTTCACAAATATCTTTTTGGAGTTACTGCTTGCTCAATAAAACTAATACCTGAGAGTATAGGGGAGAGAAAGTCATTCATACATTCATTATTCCAGATCAAAACTGCATTCTTTAGAAGCAGCACAAGAACTTTAACACCAATTTGCAATGGTGGCATTTCAACAAGCTTATAACATGAAAGTCATGTTGTTCCTTGTTCCTTTTAGTATTGCAAGAAAAGCAACCAATAGTGAACGATACCATCCCCATTCTGCTTCTTTACAAAAAACATGCACAGTATAAAAATAATGCTGCTCTGCAGAGAGAGTTTGTCATACAGACTTTTAAAAACAGCTCTTTTGAACCTGTTTAATGTTGTTAAAATACAGGCTTCCCAACTTTCTGTAAATCCATTGTAGCACAAGCTACAGTGTCAAATTCCACCAGGAAAGCACTGGCAGAGCTTACTTCCCCAGCATCTTCACTACATCATTTTTATGCACATAAAAAATTCCACTTGAGGTTCACAAACATTTTGTTGTTGCCATGAAACCTGGCAGACAGAAAATATTAAAGCAGCAATAAACCACAGAGCTGTAAAAAAGAATTCATTATCACTTGGTTAGGGTGTGGACCCAGCATAGGCAAAGGAGCAACTGCAATCTGTCCCTAACAGTGCCAAGGTCAGCATCCAGCTTATCTGGAAGCAGCTAAGGATGGTCTGTCCTTGGACCTTCCAAGCGCTATATATTTCTTCACCATGTTCCTCAGATGCCAACAATGGCTCTTACAAGATTAGTGATAACCACCATGGGATCAGCCACTGCTCTCCCCTCGTTTCAGCAATCTATTCCAGCCTTTGCATCTGCCTGCAACCTAGTAGACCAAGCAGCTTATACCATTTTTGCTTAAACTGAAAGAGGATTGATAGGAAAATAGAAAGAGATCTCAAATATAGGCTGAGCTACAAAAGCAGGAAATTAGTTTTAAGGGCCACACTGCAAAAACTGAGACACGGGCCAAGAGAAGGCAGTTTGCAAAGTGACGATGAGGGGCTGAAATCTGTCACAGGGACCACTGGTGACACCAAAGCAGGGAACTGTGAGCAGGGCTGCTTTCTTCCCTAACCTGAGGCTCCTGCACCCACTGTAGCTACCAGCTGAAACTTCTGTTCTTAGTCTTCACCATGTTCCTGTCCACGTGCAAGTTTGGAAATAGCTAACCTGGAAGTCAACCTCTGAGCTGTTGACAATTCATTTTAAGTGGAAAATGTCCAGATAGAAGTCATGACATTTATCACAGAAATAGAAATGACAGTGGGGAGCACACACCATAACAGCTGTCAGTTTGTCACAGGTCACACCTAGTATTTCCTACCAATGTTGCATATTTTAATAGTATGATAGGCAGTTTATTCTTCAGCTCCTGCTTGGATTGAAACTTACTAACAATGCAAGAAAGTGATTGTGCTTCAAACTATTTTTATTTACATGAAAGCATACGAGTAATCTGACATTTAAAGCTAAATCTTCAAACCCCATTCCCTATGTAAACAACGTACTCAATTTCCGTAGTAACAACCTTCATCTGCCAGTGCTCTATGTACTTAATTCAGAGTCAAAGGAAATTACACTCTAGTTCTTGCTTTAAGTTGTAAATTTTTAGCGCTCTCTATTCTAGTTTTTATCTCATGAGGTTTCTCAAAAAATCTCACAAAGGCTGGCTCGTTCAGTAAGGATGCCAGAATCTGTTCAAAGGCAAAAGACCATTCGTGGTTCTTTCTCAGACTCTGTGCTCCATTGCCTTCAGTCTGCTCAGAGCTGCCTTCCTCCTGTCCTTTCTGGGGGCT